AACCATTCTTTTGAAATTTATAGTGACATAAAATGTAATTATAAAACTAACATAATATTAATGTAAAATTACAATTTATTGGTGTTGCACTTACATTTTGTTACGAAATCAAAATTTTGGTGTACAAAATAGTGGACAAATGTGATGTACTACTAACATTATTGTCACACACACAAAAAGAAATGGTTAAATTTCAAAGCTGAAATGTGAAGTTAAAGCAAAGGGTCAACAACTTCGGATGCTTTGGATCATTATGTGGGACTCCCAATATGGAAAAGATGCAAATGCCATTTTCTTCTGTCCCTTTTTTCTCTTTCACACTCTTTTTTTTTAATATTCCTTAAATCAAATTTTCCTTTTCCATTTACTACTGTAATACTTTTTCGGTCCCATAACATAAATTTTTTTCACAAAATTTAAGAAAAAATATTATAATGTGAAAACATTTTCTGGGGTGGAGTTTGTTTAGAAGAAAATTGTTATAAATATAAAACTCTTTTTTTTAAAAAAAAATAAGGGAATGAAAGAAACATAACATTTATTTTGAAAACCACAAAAAAAGAATAGCGTAACATTGTTGCCTGAGATAGGGAATATTATACGGAGGAAAAAAAATACAATACTCCTAAAATATGTTACCTTCCCATAAGTCAACAAAAGAATTACTTTGTCTTGAAATCTGTAAAGTGAAATTGTGAATTTTAACATATGACCATCATATATGACTTTGTTCATAAAAAAAATGAAAAAAGGGGCAAAATTAAGAATAAACATAGAAAAAATATTAAAATAAGAGCTTTATCTTTTTATTTCCAAAATAAATATCAAAAAAACATTGTGGAATACCAATATTCAATGTTATATTGTCACATTACAAATTTTTATTTTCGGTGCAATTCTTTTGACATTATTTTTTCCAATAACTTTTATTTGTTTGCATATTATAATTGATTATTTGATAAAATAATCTTTTGTAAACTTTTCATTTCTATTAAAACCACTTTTGCCTCTATTAATTCTTAACATCACTGTTACATCATACCTTTTTTTTCTAATAATCCACACATCATATCTAGTTTTTACCCATCACATCAGGTATTTTTGGATAGTCAACACAAAAATATACCTCCATTAGATTTTCTAAAACTCAAAATGAAAACATCTTTTTGGGACGGATGAAATATTTTAATTCTGCAAGGAATGGGTAATAAGAGTAATGCTAGAGTCACAAACAAACAGTTCACAAAATTCACAAACTTACCTTTTTAACACTTTTCTAGAAATAAGATGCACTCAAATAATAAAAGATATTTTATTTTAAAATCCATAAAAAGCAAGTTTGTGAAGTTTGTGAACTATATGTTTGTGACTCTAGCATTTTCCGGGTAATAAATACCATGGGGAAGGGAAGTACATGATGTATTTGGATCACACACACCTCCCCTCCTGGTGCCAAAATATTCAATGGCAGCAGGGGAGCAAAGAATCCCAAGTCTCATCGCCATTTTTGTTCTGGTTTTGGCGAAAGCGTGCTTGAGCAGCCGCCGCGTGGACGGAGGCGGCGGGAAGGCTGTGACGGCGGTGGGGGATCCCGGGATGAAAAGGGACGAGCTGAGAGTGGGCATTGAAGCGTGGAACCAGTGCAATGAGGTTGGAGAAGAAGCTCCTCATATGGGTAGCCCCAGAGCCGCTGATTGCTTTCTTCTCTCCAAATCACCTTCTTCTTACTCTCATGGTTAGCTCTATTCCTTTTTTTCCTTTTCTTTTCTTTGCTTCCATGGGTGTGGTTGGTTCTTTTGACATCATCCATTAATGTCAGTTGTGACATTGTTTTGATTCAAGGACTATTTATAATGTTCCGATCGAAAAAATGATGGTTCTATCTCATAATCCGCTCTTTGTAAACCTTCCGGTCCGGCCCGACTCTAACACACTCACGCACCTCCAGTTCATTTTGAAGTCAAATTTTTACCTAAAAGTTAATAAAATTTGGGGCTTGGAATTGGAGGGAGAGCGGATAAGAATCATCAATTTTTCTATGGAACCAGATTAAGTGTTCGATGTCATAAAATGTCATCAAAATTTGATGTTGAAGGAACCATAGTGTTAGGAGTCATAGTTGGTCCATTATATTTATTTCTAATATAATTTATTATTAAAAAAACAAAAGATGAAAGAACTATATTATTTTATAAAATTTTCATGAGAATATGTATTTTAAAAAATGATACCGAGTATAACATAATCAAGTGATTTATATGGAGTGTATGGTTTTAATTTTGGAGCTGAGATTTTCTTTTTCATTTCAGATCTACTTTTTTCCTCAAAGTATTCAATTTCAACGAACAAAAACTGCTTATACATACGTTTGATTTAGTCGTCCGCTGTCTAAAAGAATCACGGACTAGTTTTAAGAAATGAATTTAAAATGTCAAATAATTTTTGAGTGTTTTGCGTCATTTATCATTGAACTTTCCAAAAATTACACAGATTCTCTTGAACTTTAGAAATTGAACCAATATCCCCTAAATTTTTTTAAAATGTTGCACTAATGTCAATTTGGGAGTACGCTAATCGCATGTTCATAAAAATACTTGTTGGATCCTGATGAATATGTCATGAATATGTTGATCGATTGATGACGAGCTTTATCGATTGGTGCAACAATTCTAAAAGATTTGAGGATATTGGTGCAATTTTTAAAGTTTCGGAAGAATCCGCGTAATTTTTGAAAAGTTCAGGAATAAATGAAGCCAAAAAATTCAATAAAGTTTTAAATAAATTTGTCACTCATTCATGTGAAGAATGCACAAACTCTATCTCGTCCTCAAAACGTCCCCGGTCGGTTGATTCCCAAAATAGGGGATGTTCCAACGCCGAAATCCTTTACTCTGTATAAATTATGAAAATTTTGGTGTTTTCAAGCTTTCCATCCCATTCCCATAGAAGTATTTTTTTTAAATTTAGGTCCTGCAGGAAAGAAGAATTGCTCTTTGTTCACGTTAGAGCACAAAGTCACAGAAGATGACAACAAGTTGGGCATTGGGAAAATGTTCCCCAACCTAAGTCCAAAAGCATTGCACAATCCTGACCTTTATGCTTACCAGAAAGAGCTCTACTTGGGCTCGAAATGTCAAGTGCACGACGAGCCGAGGCCATGGCAGTTCTGGATGATCATGCTCAAGAACGGAAACATGGACACGAAAGCGGCATTGTGCCCTAACAATGGCCACAAATCAAAGCCATTCCATGACCCAAACTTCCCTTGCTTTGGGAAAGGGTGCATGAACCAGCCTCTGATTTACCACAACTACACAACCTTACAAGGGCATAATGGTAACTGCCCTACACTCAAAGGCAGCTTTTATGGCACTTGGGATTTGAATGCCACCCCTTATTCGCCTGAAATGGGGAAGAACGAAAACAACTCGTTCTATTCCGTGGTGTGGGAGAAGGAAGTTGGGAGGGGGAGTTGGACTTTCCACCATGTCTTGAAGACCTCGGCCAAGTACCCGTGGCTGATGCTTTATCTTCGGGCAGACGCCGTGAAGGGGTTCTCGGGCGGGTACCATTACCCAACCAGGGGGATGCTAAAAATCGTGAGTCCCTCAACTTGACCATAAGAATGAATCGGATCGATTATCTAGTTCGGTTCAGTGCTTTATTAACTCGTGATTTTTCTATTCAAAAGTTTTGATGTAAGACACTTTTATTCAGATTCCGAGGTCGCCTAACTTTAGGGTGAGATTCACACTGAATGTGATCAAGGGGGGAGGTCCAAACAGCCAGTTCTACTTGCTTGACATTGGGAGCTGTTGGAAGAACAATGGGAAGCCATGTGATGGAAATGTGACATCGGATGTCACAAGGTACAGTGAAATGGTACTAAACCCGGAGACGTCATCGTGGTGCAACCCCAAGGATTGGAGACTCTGCCCTCCATTTCACACATTCTTTAATGGGACAAGAGTTCCCCGGAACGACACTGCCCGTTTCCCCTATGGGGCATATCACATGTACTGTGCACCGGGGAATGGGGAGCACACCGAGAAGCCTAATGTCCCTTGTGACCCATACAGTAATCCCCAGCCTCAGGAGATTCTGCAGATTTTGCCTCATCCTGTTTGGGGTGACTATGGGTACCCTACAAAGAAAGGGCAGGGATGGATTGGAGATTCAAGAGCATGGGACCTTGATGTTGGCAACCTCTCACAAAACCTCTATTTTTATCAGGTACTTTTTTACATACATTGTCATTTTTCAAGCCCAACCATGTTTTACTTCTCCACGAACCAATTCAATCAAAAGCTTTTAAGGAGTAAAATGATAACTCGTTACATGCAGGATCCGGGGACGACACCAGTTACGAGGAACTGGACATCAATTGACCTCGGAACTGAAATATATAAACATCCAAACCAAGTAGCAGAATGGACTGTCACCGACTTTGATGTTCTTGTTCCTAGGGGAAAATAAATAACATTGCCCTGGCAAAAGAAAGGTCTTTATTCAAGTTAACTAAATACATCATCTTTTGGGTTTTTGAAGGAGGCTGCTGGTTTAAAGAAAAACTGCAGTGTTTTCCTCAAGGATAAATACATGTAGGGAGTGCAATTGAAAGGAAACAGTGGTGCATCTTCTTATGCCTTCTTTAATTGTAATTATGCTCCATAAATTTGTTGTGCTCTGCAAGAAATTTCTTGTCTTTTATGCTTGATATATTGTTACAGTGCATCCCACATCGGAAATCCAAGAGTAAAATAATCGGTGTGTGTATATATATATATATATATATATATATATATATATATATATATATATATATATATAACTAAAATGACACCACGATAATTAAACATAAACCATCAAAATAACTAAATAGGATCATCTAATCAAACTACTACTGCTATATAATTATCCTTGGTCATCAATTCCAAAATCAAATATATCCTATACGTAAATGGCAAACCGCTTTGATAATTAGTGCGGCATGCAATCATACCCAGCATCTTCAAAATCCTTCCGACAAATCTCTTCACGTAGATTGCCGTGGAAGGGAGGATCTTTACATTGGAAAATGTGATTAGGACCCAAAGATGCAATGCGGCCATCTTCGTCAAAAACAACAAGAGCCTCGCGTGGCTTCAAGCGAGGATGAAAGTATTCTTTACAGAGCCTGGCTGCCTTGGTTGGGTCTGCACGGCATAGGAACCAACCCTTATCCATGAATTCCTCATCAATGGTGCCGCATCTCCTGTCCACATCTATGCATACAGCAACCACCTCAACATTTGAATGCCATCCCTTAATATATCTTTTATACCACCCAGCCAGTTTATCAGCCAGACATTTCTGTGAGTCTTGGTATAGATAAAGAACAACAATCTAGTCCTTAAGCGTTGCCACAGGTTTATCCATCTTGCACTCAGGATCAAGCGTGGCATGAACAGCTTCCCAAGTAAGTAGTGAGTCCAATCTCAGTCCCTTTTTCCTTTGGAATTCCTTGTCGATCAATTTCCTCCTGGTGAAGGGATAACCGTCCATGCCGAAGTCACGGATGATTAGCATTCCATAGGGATCAACACACTTTTCAACACTAGGATCCACTATGAAAAGACTTTCCTTTTCACGGTCAAATATAGGCACCCGCTCTAGTCTATGGCATACTGTGTTGTTGAAGGGGAAAAACCACCACCGTAGCAGCTTAAGACTTGCAAGTTTATCAATGATCACATCATCATACAACTTTGGGGGCACTCGATCCCGGAAGGGATTGCACACCAGTGACACCACCACAATCTCAAGCTCGTGGGTTTGCCATCTACATTCCTCGTGAACATCCTTAAGCCTCTTTAAACTTCTACCATCCCAGTGCATGTAAAGCCCCACAACCTTCTGTTTAAGCTCAGAAATAGTAATACTACGACCATCCTCTTCCTTCAACCTGCTGCCAGCAAGATACTCAATATTGTAAAGAACATCAGTGTCGCTGAGGCCTAAGAGCTCACCAAGGGAGCGATTCTCCCGATTATACTCAGTGCATAGGAAAACCCATTCTCTCTCTGGAGTAAAGGGAAAGCATTCATGCTCAGCTCCAAAAAGTGTTGATAGGCAGAGAGAGAGAGTGAGTGAAACCCTCCCTCATCATTGGCACAACCACCAGCTCAAAGTCATCTCTTCTAGCCAGCTCATGAGAAGCTAAGGCTGTGTGATAAACCAGGAACCCGTCTTCTGAACACCATATTGATGGCACAAACACGCAACAAATCATAACGTATTTACCCTTTAGGTTCAGGGTTCTTTCCATGCTAACAAACTCTGTTTTGCCTGTTGTTGTGCCTGCGGTAGAGTCCATGGCACCACCACCCCCAACAACATTAGCACAACGCTTGAGTACGGGGCGTTGAATCCTTTCAACATCACAACTACCATCACCTGATCCACCCGTGTTTGTTTTTTTAAAACCTTTACACAATCCCTCGGAACTTGTGGGCCGAATGCTAGGAACGCTTTGGCTTCTAGTGCTGAACCTCAAGAGGTTGACATCCCCTAGCAATTCTAAAACATCCAGTTGTTTGCCTACCTCGACTTTGGGGACATCAACGAAGGATAGATTCGGAATAAACGGGGCATTGGGTGTCAAAATATGAACCGATCCTATATTCCTTACTTACAGCACGTGGGTAGGGGCGTTCGTAAGCATCTCTGAAGCAGAAGCCGGGCGCAAAGATTGAGGCTTTGATGTGTTTGAGTCGACACTTGGATACATTTGGAAAGGATACCTTCTCTTCTAACAGCTTCGCCGTCCGATCTGATAGACGTATCTTAGACGACGATGATCGAAGGAGACGCTTCGAACTTGAAGGTGGTTCACCATGCGAACCAAACAGATCTTGTTCATCATTCCGCCCCCTCTTCACCTCCATTCTCATCGAAACACTCAGGTGGGTTCAACTAGGGTGCGAGTGAGTCAAGAGCATTTGGTAGCAGCAAATTCCACTCAAATCATAAACATTCCATAACCATTCCACCTCATTTTTCATTCTATGTGCAAGGCATGACTCTCCCATTTTTTATTTTTTTAGTATTTTTAATATTTGTAATTTTTGAAAAAAAAAATATTTTTTAAAAGAAGTAAACATATTTTAATAATAAAATTTCCAGTGAGGATGGTGCTTGGTGAAAAAAAATAAGAATAATATTCATTTGTTGGATTGGGTGCATCCAATGGCCAAGATTCAACAATGCACTTAATACATCAATGAATTTAATTTTGTAAAGTAAATACTAAACTCCTAAAAATTAGGAAGCAATCAATTATTGGGGGCATAATGGTCAGTGAGCTAATACGGAATACATGCGTGAAAAAGGAAAGTTATATGGAGTATTTCATTTGGTGGCCATACAACAAGCCAATTTGTTATTAAAATATTTAGTTCATTTCATTTAATTTTTATAATGCACTACTCTCTATTTTCAACTTAACTTTTCACAAACAAGTTATCATTGACAAATAATATACTGTTAAAAATCTCTGGTTGAGATCTATACAACGACATCAATATTGAATATAAAATTTTGATATTATCTTCTTCTCGCATTTCTAAGTAAGAAAAGTTAAATTTATAAACAATTTTTTCAACATTATTTAACCAAAAAATATATATTTTTAGGCGGTTTTTCAAGATGTTACAAACTCTCTTAATTCTACTCCTTCCGATGCACTTTAGGAAAAGGTGTTTAGTATCTAGCATTTTTGGAGTTATCTCATGGAGAAACATTGTAATATTCAAAATTATAGATTTAATGTGAATGCACTATGATGAGTGATATATGCATTATGTTATGCTGATTTGTCCTTTAAATTTTATTGAATTTTTATTTTTTTTGATTTATGATTAAATGAATAATGACTCCGGGGTGACTTTATTTGTGACGTGAAAACATGAGTGAGAATCCTTTGTATTCAAAAGTGTAATACCAATTTGAGAAATACCTTGCCTGTGTAGGATTCAAACCCACATCTGTAGTATATACTGATCTACCATTTGAGCTAATAGCCAATAATATGTTGTTCAAAAATACTCCCATCTTGTACTTTGACATGTTAAAGACGTAATTTATATATAAAATTTGTATCTTTCAAAGTTTTTCTAACCTATATCTAGATGTATTATTGAACATTTTAAATGCATCGTCATTTGCTAGACGATCACTTTCTAGAGTATACAAATGCATCATATTTGTATCAAAAGAATTTCATTATATGATAGATGAATTTTACTTTGATTTTGATAACGCACAATAATTGAATAAATTAACTTTTTCTCTATTCTAATAATGCGTAGTCTTATCGTTAAATGCATTACTTCAATGTTGATAATGCAATATAACAAAAATCTATACTCACTTTGTTCCTTAAATTTTAACAACGCAAAAGATGTTACAATGCACCATGAATTCTCTGTGGCGCATGGCAAGACTATGACTAGTTGTTCCACAGAACTATGCCGCTAGCTTTTGAAAAATGCACCAATTGATTAAAAATTCCAATTAATAACAACAAGCCTTATTCTACTCAACCATCTATAAAATGTGTAGTGAAACTAATAGTGAAGCAAGAAAAATACCAAAAAATAAAGTGCATATTACTTAATAGATGCATATTAAAGAGTCCAAAGTGCTTATTTGGGACACAACGAGTAAAATATATTTAGGCCCCGTTTGGTACACGGAATTCAAACTAAAAACTATTCAATTTTATGAATACTTTTGCTGTTATGGTTTCTAAATTGTAGGCATATATTGTTCTCATATATAGCTGCAGTACGTAGAGTATTGTAAATTATGCATGCCCTATGATGAATTGATGAATGATATATGTACTAGGACATGTCCTTTAAATATTATAAAAATTTCATTTATTCATTGGGATTGGTGAATGATGATTCATGAGGAACTTTATATGTGATGATAAAGATTGAAATGTATTGCATCCAAACCAAGTGTGATATAATTTTGAAAAATAGTTTACCTATGTGGGATTCGAACTCACACATGTTGTATATATTGCTCTACCATTTGAACTAATAGTCATTCAATATGTTTTTAACCCATTTTGAAATGTAACATAGAACATTTTAAAGCATTATCTTTTGCAAAGAATTTTACTATCTAGAATATACAAGTGACCATATTTAATTATGTGAGGACAACTACATAATCTGATGCACCAACTTTAATTATGATAATGCACAATAACATAATGTATTATCTTTTACCTTAATTATGAAAATACACACTAACAGATTGCATTATTCTTTACCTTGATTATGAGAATGCATTGTCATCATATGTAAATGCATACCAAGATTTTGATGATGCACCATGTTAGACAAGCAAACAAACTAACATTTTTCAATCTAAAAAATTGACATAAAAAATAAATAATTTCTTAGTGTATAAAAAACCAATTACATAAACAAATATTAAATAATGTCTCTTTGCATTAAAAATAAAATAATGCCTAGATAATTGCGCAATAGAGCATTTACAGAATAAAAAAATACATCATCATGAATCTAAACATACATTGCGAAAGTGAAAATCAACTATCAAAAAAATCAAAGATAGACTCGAATGATTCATTAATTTTCAAAAAATTTGATTTAAATTAATTAAAATAAAAAAATAAAAAAGAAAATTAAACCCAATTATATTAGATGGAAGCACATTCCAATCCCACCGTCACCGATTGGGTGCCATGCTCTGCCTCCTGCCTAGACTACGATTTACATCGCCAACAAAGAGCAAGTCGCGATGAAAAAAATCAAATTAAATAATTCATGAAAATCACCATCCAAAGAATTAAGAAGCAAAGAATGAAAAAATTAAATGTTATTTATGGCAAAGATGGAAGCAATGGCGGATCCAGAAAATGAAATGAAAGGGGGCAAGAATAAGGCGGGGCTTGGGAGCAACACTCGATTTTTTTGTGTGAAAATTAATGTAAAATGCCATAAATACAGTTTGATGGTGTAAATTATCAACCGATATATCATTTTTAGCCGGACAAAAACAATAAACTAGTCTAAAAAATACACCAAAATATAAAAACAGGAATTTTGACGTGGAAACCCAAATCGAGAGAAAATCACGGGTCTTTTTTGGCAGTACCTTGCCAACGGGGAATTTTTATTAATATCAGGGGTATGTACACGGTACATGAAATGGGCTCGAAAGCCATAAATGGAAGCTTGAAAGCTTATTGAAGAACAAAAATTATGAATATCTAGAGAGAGAGAGAGTGATCGAGATGTGCAGGAGGAAGTGAGTGAATTGGCCTCCCATTTAATGAAGGAGAGCCCTCCTTTTATAGGAGTAGCAGAAACATCTACGAGAGAATATTCTCTTATTCTTTTATTTTATTAAATATGTCCGATTTGGTTGTTCTTCGTAAATAATTAGAAAATGTGGGTCGAACCACGTGCTATTTCCCATCACAGTTAAATTGCATTTCAATATTATGAATTGCTACGCATTATTTATAACCTACTAAATAAATAATGTTAAATTTAGATATTATTTATGACTAGACAACCAAAAATAATTTTCAATTAAAGATTTAAAATGTTTTTATCCTTCTTTTTTATGTTGTAAGTGAGGATTTGGAAAAATGAATGGGGGCATTTCATTTTTTTAAGTGGGGGCATAAATGATATTTTTAAAAAATTTGATTATTTATTTATAAAAAAATTAAAAGTCATTGGGGGTAAGTGCCGCCATTAATCACCAAGTAGATCCATTTCAATGAATTATTAATCAATAAATAAAGAAAATACTTTCTCCTAAACTCTAATTTTTCTCTTTTCCTCGACTTTTTTGTTCTTGGAGCTCGAAAGTGCTCAAAATCCTTCCTTATCCCTCTTTCCATATTCCTTACGATACCGTATCAGTGACCCCGTCCGGCCAAGTTTAAGGGACTCTCGAGTATGGGTCATCCTCTATCGTAAATTCTCCATTGTCTTTACTGTTTTCTAATGTCCACCACCTTCACTGCACTCTGCGTCGACTGCCGTTCACTATTATCCACTGCATTCATTGCTTTTCGTCTTGTCATTGTCTTCCTTACAGTTTCAATTATCTTCCGTCATCTCCAATAATGTCTTCTCTATAATGTTAAAAAAAAGATATTCATTATCCTTATATCAGTGAAAGAAAATAACATTGTTTATATTCTCCAAAATAATTTGTCCGTCGAATGGAATGGAATGGACTCACAACTCACAAGAAAAAGATACACTATACTCCCTCCTACTCCCTCCGTCCCAAAATATTCACAACATTTACTTTTTCAGAATCCAGAGGAACTTTTGTTTACTTCTACATTTTCATTGGTTATTTGATAAAATAAAATATTCTTGACACCTCTTATTTCGAAGAACTTTTCATGTAGTTTTTTGATATGTAAATTTTATTTTTTAATTCTATACCAATATGTATGTAAAATAAATTGAAAAAACTTGATATTTTACCTCGGGAATACAAATGTGACAAATATTTAGGGACGAAGGGAGTATTTGGTTGAAGAAAAAACAGAAAAAAAGGTTATTATTCCGTATTCTTTTACTTTTTTTTGCCAAATGAGAACAACCTTTTTTCCACTATTTTTTTCTGTTTATCTCTAGCAAACAAGAAGAAATTATTTTTCCTATCTTATTATTTTTCTCTCTCAAATTTCTTGAACCAAACATAGTTTAATGTGAGATGGACTAGAAGAAACATTCCAAAAGCACTCACATGTGAATTAGAAGAAAAATAACATTCCTTTATAGAAAATGCTAGGGGTACACCAAATGTCTACCTCATTTGTTCCCCACCCTCTCCATAACCACTCAAATAGGCAAGAAAATTAAAAAAAAAGTAAATAAAAATCAAATACAAATGAGTGCTATGGAGGGGGTGGGGGACAAATTGGGTACACCTTTGGTGTATCCCTAGCATCTCTCTTCCTTTATTAATGGAATGGAGTAGACTTTGTTACACAGAATTTGATAAAATTGGAATTGGACAGAGAGTTAAAATTTTATAGAACTGATTTGAATGGAATTGAATTCTTCAATTTCAATTCAAATTTGGCACTACTAATCCTGAATCTACATATTTTTGTACTACCAAACAGCAGAATTAGAATTGTTGTTCTCGATTCCAGATTGAATTTCGTATACGAAATGGAGACTTAGATCGGATTGTAAAAAATTAATGGTGCGGCAGCGGATCCAAAAAAAAGAGAGGAACCGTCGGCGGCGGGAAGAGAGGAGAATGGTGCAGCGGTGGGAAGGGAAGAAGAGAAGAATGTGGAGAAACTAGGTAGAAAATTTTTGGGGCCATTTGGTAAGTTTTTGAGAACGATATTATATGAATTTTGAAATTTGAAATAAATGAACCAAATGATATGCGAAGTAAATTTTGAAATCCCAAAAAAAAATTGTTATGGGAGATTTGAAAGCATGATTTGTAGTGAGAGACGGGAGTGGCCGACAGACAACAGTATAAAAGCGGGGATGACAATGGTAGTAGGCCGTGTCAAGGTTTTTGATGGTTGAAAAAGTTATCAAAAGTTTATATTGATATCTCTCAAATTCATGAGATATCAAAATCTCCTCTCGCAGATATGTTTTGAGTTCTGGAGATATCAAATCAAAAGTATACGGAGTACATCTCTTTTGTTCATCAAACCGGTTGTTAGGGTCATTAGGGTTTGGCTAGCTTATATGATAATTAGGTTATACTTTATTACTCTCTTAGGTTATATTATAACGAAATTACTTTAAAATGAGTAAAACATTGAGAAAAATATCAAAATAGAAGTTTATATTGTGATAATGATAGTATAAACTTCTATTTGATCTTAAAAAACTTAAGACTTTTATTTTAGTATTTCCATTATTTTTTACTCTTATGCAGTGTGTTCTCCCTATTAAAAAACTAATCAAATTTCCAATAAAACAAGAGATGACATGATTATATTATGTTACCAATTAACTAACAAAAATAGGTCAAAAAAATAATTAAAGTTTGACTTTGTGAAGGAAGTATATTAATGCAAAAACGGTAATGTTCCGTTGACACTGGTTTCTAGTGTCAACGGATGACACTCGCTCATTTGGAGCTTCTCCGATGCTCCAAAGGAAAAATTGATGGTTTCAACCTCACCTAACCTCCCTCCTAAGCCCCGACCGCACCCCACCCCAGCCCGACTCCTACAACCCCACCCTAGACCCCCCCCCCCCTTTTACCCCCAACTTTTATTCTTAAAAAACATGCAAAGATTGAGGAGAAGATTAATAAGGGAAAAGCTACTAGTATAATCACGTTATTCACGTACACATGTTTGATGAGAAGAAAAAAAAACTTGATGAAAAAGACTTATTATATCCACACAAAAAAATTATCATTTAAAATAAATTATGCATAACAACCCGCCATAACAATTAGAGTTTGATTATGACTCTACCATGCATTCATTAATTATATTTAAACAGATAAATCAAAGGCAACAGAAAATCTAATATCCATTTCAATTCCCTGTGTGATGTGCTTGGAGCATATCAATGGCGCAACAAAAAAGATTTGCATGCATTCTTCTTCTTCTTCATCTACTTGTGATCCAACAACTGTTCATTTCTGCGGCGTTTTCCGGCGGAGGCGCCGGGGGCAGGTACATCTCGGCCTCCGGAGATCCGGGGATGAAGCGGGACGAGCTGAGATTGGCTATAGAGGCATGGAACCAATGCAATGAGGTGGGAGAAGAGGTTCCCAAAATGGGAAGCCCCAGAGCTGCTGATTGTTTTGATGTCTTTAAAGATTCTCCATTACATCCCCAAGGTCCCTCTCTCTCTCTCTCTCTCCATGTTTTCTTATGTTAATTATATTCTCCATCTTTTCTTCTTTATAAACAATGGTGGTGGAGGCTTTTATTAATAAAAATCCCACCTTTTGAAGAATTTTTTTAAAAGTTGAGTTAGGTTTAATATACTTATTCATGGTGTTCCTTCTGGGTTTTTTTTAAGATTTTCAATCGTCATATCTGATGATTTATCCTTGTGCAATATAGTGCCAAACATGTTGGTCCACAGAGTGACAGAGAGGGATAACAAGCTAGGAATCGGCCGTTCTTTTCCGGGTTTGGGACAAAAAGCAATGTCCAATCCAGACCTCTATGCTTACCAGAAAGAGCTCTACTTGGGCTCGAAATGTCAAGTGGAGGACACGCCAAGGCCATGGCAGTTCTGGATGATCATGCTCAAGAACGGCAACATGGACACAACGGCAGCAAAGTGCCCTAACAATGGCCACAAAGCAAAGCCATTCAATGACACACACTTCCCTTGCTTTGGGAGAGGGTGCATGAACCAGCCTCTGATTTACCACAATTACACAACTTTACAAGGGCATAATGGTAACTTCTCAACACTCAAAGGCAGCTTTTACGGAACGTGGGATTTGAATCCCACGGGTTCAGGGGAAACAAGAAAGAACTCATTCTATTCGGTGGTGTGGGAGAAGGAACTTGGGAAGGGAAGTTGGACTTTCCACCATGTTTTGAGAACATCAATGAAGTATCCATGGCTTATGCTTTATCTAAGAGCAGATGCCACGACTGGGTACTCGGGCGGGTACCATTATCCAACCAGGGGCATGTTAAAAATTGTGAGTATATTTCACACAGATGCAAATGTCATTTTTCCCTGTCCCACTGGAATTTATCAAATTGCAATTGTACTCTGTATTAATTATTCAATGTGAGATGATTCATCCCTTGACATGTTTTTTAAAAATATGGTTTTTCAGACCCCAAAATCGCCAAACTTTAGGGTGAGATTCACACTAAACGTGATCAAGGGAGGAGGTCCATACAGCCAATTCTACTTGCTTGACATTGGGAGCTGTTGGAAGAACAATGGGAAGCCATGTGATGGAGATGTGACATCAGATGTCACACGGTACAGTGAAATGATACTAAATCCGGAGACAGCCCCACAGTGCAATGCTAAGGACAGCAAGTTGTGCCCTCCATATCACACATTCCCTAATGGGACCAGAGTTCACCGGAACGACACTGCCCGTTTCCCCTATGGGGCTTATCACATGTACTGTGCACCTGGGAATGGGGAGCACAGTGAGAAGCCTAACGTTCCTTGTGACCCATACAGTAATCCCCAGCCTCAGGAGATTTTGCAGATTTTGCCTCACCCTGTTTGGGGTGACTATGGGTACGCTACAAAGAAAGGGCAGGGATGGATTGGAGATTCAAGAACATGGGACCTTGACGTTGGCCGGCTATCACATTCCCTTTACTTTTACCAGGTAAAAGGCTAAATGACATGATTGACCTTCATTATTGACATATAAAACGAAATGATTATCGTATACCCGATGCAGGATCCAGGGACTGCAACACTTACAAGGGAATGGACATCAATTGACCTGGGAACTGAAATATATAAACATCCAAACCAAGTGGCAGAATGGACTGTCACTGACTTTGATGTTCTTATTATTCCCAAGGAAACTAAGAGGCAATAGCTATCCTCCATGATTGGTAATTGTTACATATCACGTAGGATATGTTGATTGAGTGTAATATATTATGTAGTCATTACTTAGAGGGAGGTGGGAATGGGGGTGGGGGGACAGAAAACAATATTTCTCTTGTATGAATAAGACATTTCAGAAAATTGCTAGGTTCTTGGTCTTATTGTCAAGGTTATGCGTATAATTCGTCATTTTTTTTAATTTCAAATATTTTGTTGTGTCTTGAAATAGTTATTCTTGCTAATAATACTTGAATGGAATAGGACGACGCTTGAACAAATGAAGGTATTTAAGGAGATGGACTAAACTGACAATAAATTTGTTTCTCGAGGTAGCCGGGGTAGCCCTACAAGTTAAAACTAACTAATACAAGCTTTAATGCTGCTCTAAGTTAATCCTTCTATGTTATTATCAGTGAGAAAAACTATTAACAGAAGGAACTTAACTTCTCAGAATGGAAGGGCATTAATGAATCAATGAAATACAATTGAAACCTGCGTATGAATCTGGCACCGTGATTTTCTAGCATTGCCTTGGAGACCTACCAGAGAGGCATTTCCCACATGAGACCAATTTCAGTAAACCTTTTGGCTTCCGACTTCTACATCTAAAGTGTGACAGCTGCTTGCAAAAAAAAAAAAAAGTGAGCGACGACCATAGATGAATCAAGATTAGCTCAGCTCATATCTTGCTACCTTTAAAGAGCAAATTCCCTATTTAGTCCCTCAACTATACACATTACTCAATTTTGTCCGATTTGTTTTGGACTGAATTTAGTCCTTGACTATGCATTTAAGACTCATTAGGGTTCTCGAGTATATTCCACTTTGATTAGGAAAGAGGGGTACATTTGTATGGTTGAGGAACAAATTGAGTCCTAAATTGGGTCTAAAATTAGTGAACGGAAAAAACACCCTTCATAATTACAACTAAATATGTATGAGGACTAAATTGGGTCCAAATTTCTTAGTCGAGAATAAAATTGATTCCCAAAAGAAGTTGAGGACCAAATTGAGTGGTTGAGGGAAGGAATTGAGTATTAACTTCACTTAAAATACTTACAGCCTACTCTGATTTCAAAAGAAAACAATAAATTTCAATATTTCAGAAACATATTGTTTTGTTTAACTAGTGAAGAAATTGGCATCCATGTAAAGGATTCACCTTACAGTATGTGTACAACATGGTTCTAACAGTACAGAGATGATGATGCGTCAAAGAATTATCTTTATATTCATCATGGTTACCTGTCGGCGTGAAAGTGGTGTGGCCTTCCAGCAAAGCAAGCTTCGCGATCTTGGTTCCAGTCTCCTGTACAACATAAGAGGTGAGGTTAATTATTGCACTCTAAGATAAGCCCCAAAACAAGCCAATACGAACAATTATTTATATATACCAATGGAGAAAATGGGAAACATAAATGATTGGGAAAACAAGAATGTACATACAGATTCTCTTGTTCAAGCTTTTCAGCAATAGAAACAGCCTTCTGTTTAGACCATCCACTCTCTTGAGAACTTCCTTCCTCTTGCTGAGCAACAGAAGGCTTTCCTCTCACCAGTCTCAGATTCTGATTTCCATCTCCCCTTTTTCTTACATCTGAAACGGAACTTATCCCTTCAACAATATCATTTTCTGAACTCCGCCTATTGAATCGGACATTTTCAACATGTTCATTAATAACCTCACTCTCTTCTAAATCATCCTGAGATGCATGCATGGCAACTGGCCCTGCCCTTGTATCATCATCTCTTGAGATGTCAACTCTGATTTCAATCGTCACAGGGGATCCAATAATAGACTCAAAAGCTTGTAATATATGTACTCTAAATTTTTCCGCCCTATTTTTTGTTGTGTGAGAGCTGAACATTAGTTGCACCGTGGGAGCTTCAAAAAGACATCCAGAAAATTCTAAGAACGTCAAGCTCCAAAAAAAAAAATTGAACTTTTAATAGCTTATGAGTCTATTCGGATGAAGGCTTTAGAGGGGAAGGCTTAGAAAAGCTCTGATCTTGTCATCGTAAGTGATTTCTCATTTAAGCTTCGTCCATTGCCAATGAAGTTAAAAGAGTCATTATTGACATTGTTTAAGTTTGGAGCACATAATGGACTAAATCAAAATGGCACAGTATACTTCTCTTTGTTCTTACTTTGTATGAAGTTTTGGGCAGTAAATTAATGGCTAATGGAAACAGCCTCCTCTCTTTCTTACAGGATAAGGCATGTGTACATCTTGATCACCCCTCCCCCCCCCAAAGACCCCAACAAAGTTAGGATTATATTGGGTTATTGTTGTTGCTGATTTCTCATTTAAGCGATTAAAAATGATTTTTTGACAAAAAAGCACCAATGTGCTTCTTTTTTTAAAAAAATACAGAAACGAAGTTTTTCACTGTTAAAAACAGTCTTTTTCATTTTCCTGTCAAACTCTTTTGAGAAATTTATAATTACTTTTCTACCTCCAAAAAATCACTTTTGGAAAATAAGTAATCCAAAATGTATGCTTAGTCAATTTCTAGATTAAAAGAATGTTCTCAAAACTGTGTGAATAATGTGTTTTGAAATTATTCCATGATGCCCTATTAATGAAGTAGCAGTTAGTCAAGCAATGCAACTTTCGACGTTGAGCCAGGGGTCTCTTTGGAAACAGCCTCTCTACTTTCGAGTAGGGGCAAGGTCTGCGTACACACACCCTCCCCAGACCCTACTCTTGTGGGATTTAACTGGGTTGTTGTTGTTGTTGTTGATGCCCTATTATGTTACTCCTTCAACTTTTATAAAATCACAAATATAGATTAAGATATAGACTTAGCCCTCCCACATCATCCCCAATGCCCTCCCATCCAAACCAACCTTTACTACAATCGGATATGTGTGGGGGTGGGGGGAATTGTAACAAAAATCCACAACAGAGTTTGAGTGTTATATATGCATTTTAGATCAAATGAAAAGAATAAGTTACCTGTTCCAGAACGAACAGAGACCAACTTTGCTTCCTGATACAAGAATTGTCTTAAGCTATCAATACGAATCTTTTTTAGCACAGCCACCCAAATTTCTTCAGTGTCATCCTGTATTTTAACTTGATATCTCTCCTCCCTAATATTTGTTGACAATCCTCGTTCTCCCGGAAGAATCTCGATACGTTCACCATTACTTTTTCTGGGTATTTCCCTTATACTGGCATAATTTACATTTGCGGGGCTTTCGTTTAGGCTAGTAGCTGCAGAAGAACTGGGTAAGATGTCCTGTTGGTCAGGAGCAAGCTGCAGTAAAGCAGCTGTAAGCCAGGTAAGTTGGTCCTTTGATGTTCTGAGCTGTTTTTCTGCTTCGGATAATGTTTTAAGGGCCTGACGTAATCTTTCCATGTCTTCTTTAGATACTGAAAACCAAATACAAAGTCATTCATTCAGTTCAAGGAGGGAAAATAACAAATGTAGCATAGCTGATCGATAGAAAATAAAGATAACTACCTCTGTCCCTAAATAGTCTTGATCAAATATACAACGTTTGAAGTTTGGTGAGGTACAAAATTTTCTCAACAAAATTTTATTTTCTTGAATTCCATGCGAAGTGAATGCAAGAACAAAAAAATGGATGGAGGGAGTATAGTATTTTCATCTATTTATAACGGAAAAGTTACATGAAACTTAGATTTGGCTGATCATATTTGACTCTTTTTTTGGGACAAAAGAAGTCTTTAAAATGGGACTTTTCCGGGACAGATGGAGTAAATGATGATGAATAAATAATAAATGCTACGGAGTGTTTGATGTTTTGAAATTTGCTTACATGCTTGATACCGGAAAAACTTCCTTGTGTGACTGTCTTTAGTGAAATCATAGCTTCCAGCAAGAATATCAGTAATGACCGTAGCAAGTTGTGACATTAAAGCCAAAGGCTCAACCCCAGACTCCATTATCTCTCTCAAATTTCTCACCGTATTTGCTGTGTCTGCCGATAATGCCAAGTCCAGTAGATCTACTAACTTCTCATCAGAAATAAGCCCAACCTGGAAATGTTATATTCAAAATATCAATGCAGTGGATATAACATATACTTTAATTTAAACAACAAAAAAGGACATTACCAGTTCTTGGACCAAAGGAACAGAGATTCTCAGCCCGAGCAAGCTCAACTGCTCCAGGGTCATCTCAGCATCCCTCAAAGATCCATCTGATCTTGTGGCTATAAGCTTAAGTGCATCCTTGTCGATTTCTAGACCTTCTTTGGTTGCAATCCACTGCAATGCATAAATTACATCTGCATCCTTCAACTTTGGGAAAAAAAACTTGTGGCACCTTGATATGATCATATGAGGCAACACATCAAGGCTTGAACAAATGAGGATAACAACAAAACGCCTCGGTGCACAATCAATAGCCTTTATAATAGCACACCAACTATCAGCGGACAAAGCATCACAATCATCAAAAATAAACACTCTGTACCGGGATGGAAGATGAGCAGCAATTATCATACTGTCAAGAAGATCCTTTATGTTGTTATGATAACTCTTCTTCTTCCCCGTATCATAAGCAATGCACGAGTTGCAAATCTCGCAAGGCTTGGAATGTTCCGGAGATTGGCAATTTAAAGCCTTAGCAAATACGCGGGCGCATGAAGTTTTCCCGGTGCCATGGGGCCCATAGAAGGCATAAAGTAACCCCACCTTGCTCTTGGAAACTGCATTGGAAAGGGCTTGTGTGACCAAATGCTGGCCCACCAGATCTCTAAAGGTCCTAGGCATATATTTCTGGGTAAGACTTTGGTGCCTTACAGTTTTGTGTTTCATCAGTAGATCATCAGCAAAGTCACCCAAATCTCCCGAATAATCATGAGCCCAAGCAACGTTGTTGTCTTTACTTCCCAGAGAGACCGAAGAAGCATCATCATCAAATAGTAAAGGCAATGCCTCCGTAGACTTACCGGAAGAAGAATCTGTGTACTCAGATGATACATGAATAGCTGCAATGTCTTTATCTTTCTTTAACATTGACTCCGACAAACCACAAGAGAAGCTCTTCCCAGCCATGTCCAGAAATGATTTGCTTCTGTCGTGGATTTTTGACCAGTTCAAAGGAATTCCACATCCATTCCTAGGGGCCCTGGTGATTCTTTTATCTGCACTTTCCTCCCCTGCCATATGAATCACACATTTAGCTAGAGAATTAGAAGCATCTCTGGGAGGACCTGAAGCTCGGGTTCTTCTGGAACCTCGAAAGGGATGCCGTTTTACTCTCCTGTTACAGTATGTACTATGGATATTTGCTTCCGTTGCAAGATTCTGACTGGATGAATCCACCTCATCACAGTGCAGTTGCTCTGAGAGAGTCATCATGCGATCCTCTTGAATGCGCCTTCCACTTTGCTTGATACTCTTATCTCTCCTAACGCTTCTCGCCCGTTCCTGACTACCACTACTCTTGCTACTCCCACTACTGTATTTATCAACTTTACTCTTTAGTCTTTTATCTCCACCAGATGAAGCAACTTTAGAAGAAGATGATCTATGAACCTCATATTGTGGGCAGTCTGTGCCAACAGAATGTCTGCCATTGCTTACAAGGGCTGGAGGAGACTGCCACAAGGGTGGGGGGCTTGCGGAAGGATCCCTCAAGGATCTTGATCTCTGAAGGATGGCAAGATCCCTCATGACAGACCGATCAGACAATATAGGGCTTTGCTTATTATGCATATGGTTCTTCAGATGAATACAATTGGTTAAATGTATGTGATTCCTCAAATGGTCACCAATGTTTGTACCATCATTCACATCATTCAGTACCCTGTTGCGGACTATCTTTTTGGTCATGATCCGCATGCATTCAGCAACAACAAAACCTCATTTATAGTATTGTCACTATCCTGTCTCTATCCATTTTCTATACGGATAATAATGACCACATCCAATCACCAAGCAATGAATAAATTCTTAAAACAGAACTAATACTAACTAGTAGCTAGTCATTTCAGGCCAGTAACCTCTCACCATTGCTACTCATATCCAAAAAATACAACAACAAAATTAAAAAAAATCAAGAACCCATTTTGCGTTCAGTCATAAAAATTCAATCTTTTCTGTTGAAAACGCCAAAATGTTCATTTTCTTATCTAGAGGTGAGAACATTGCATGCCCGGGTCATTAATTTCCAAAAAAAAAGAAAAAAAGAAAAACAATCACACAAAATTCACACAAGAAACAAGTGAGGTTAGAAAGCACCGCAATAAACTGAATCTCAAGAGGCAACATGCTGCTGCATTTATTATCAAAATCGTGTGATTTCTTTCACTTTCACAGATCTCTTGCTTCCCCTCCCCATACGCTTTCAAGTACATGAGCTTCACGGGAGCTCTTTCCAAGAAAACAAAATGTGAAGATAGAAAGAACTCATGTTGATTCTTTGTGTGGGAGAGAAAGGAAAGGAGTAAGGAGAGCAGCAAAATAGAGTGCTTTTTCAGAGTGAGATTCTTGTCATTTTTGGCAATGGGGGAGGGCAGAGAGAAATTGCAGTCCAATAAGACCTGTTTCTCAAAACGGGTGAAAAAGTAAAAACTAATAAAATATTCAAAAACGTGACTGAATGATTCTATTTTGCCAAAAATATCACTTTTTTAAAATAATATCATTAGACTTCTTATAATATGCACTAAAAAAAGACTCTTTAAAATATTTAAAATTTGACTCAAATTCTTTTAAAACATGCATTATCTCTTTTAACTAGTAAAACCTTCTTTTAATTGTATGTTTTTTCAAAGATTTTTTTATTATTATCTCAAAAAATGTATTTTTTTGTCAATTTCTCATCTGTTCACACGAAAAAAATTCTTTTTTGACTTTTTATAGTTATTAAGTAGAGTTAAAAAAGGTAAAAGTTTACTAAAATATATACTTAATGAAAATGTGTGAAATAATGTATATTAAATGAGGTAACTGGGTGTAATAAATAGATTAAGTAGGAATAATGGTGATATTTTAAAGGTAATGAGAAATTTTTTTCTAGAGAAACAACATTTGAGAAAATTTATGAAAAATGGAGGTAGTAAGTCTTATAGGTCACCGCATAAGAAAAATTTTGGGAGTATTGATGTCATTATAATATTTTGCTTTGTATGAAGTTCTTTGTAGGACGGAAGTAATAATCAAGTTCAAAAATTGTGAAATGACAAATTTTTTAGTATAAGTTCTCTTGTAAAAATAATTTAATTTTGATAATTTTTCAAACATTTTTTTTGGAGATATATGGAGTAAACTGTTTTATAAAGCACATTCTTTTTGAGATCCAAACAATAAAAATGAAAAATTCTTAGCTCTGGAGCGGAATCATATCTGGGATATTACTGATCTTCCACCGAATGGGAGGGCCCTGTCTTGTCTATGGGTGTACATGTAACACCCCAATTCGTATAGCCCAAAATTATAGAAATTAAGGTGAAACAAGAGCAATATTTTCAAACTTTTTTCAGATCATTAAATAAAATTCATAAAACAAAACTTCAAAATACAACATATTAAATTCAGATCGATCCTTTTACAAAATGTTGGAGATAGCGGAAGACTTAAATAATACAAATACAATGATGTGGGTCAAGCCCAAAACTTCAAATGCAATACTTGTGAAAATCATGCATGTCAACCTCACATCCTATCGTCTCTTCGTCCTCCGGGTGATTTAAATAATTTGCGTTTCAACCTACGTGTAGACAAAAAACTACACGCTCAGCATAAAGCTGAGTGGTACGATATTGCGAGAGATCGATAATATTTTCATACTTAAATACTATGCATCACATTGACAACATAATTTTCATGTTTGCATAGTAGATATCACAACATACAAGGAACACGTATACATATCAAGGAGTTTCATTTTAGAATGTTATCCACATATATATACCTTGACCTTATCATCAACGATGTTTGATATGAAGTGCAATATGTTTTGCACAAATCTTAGTCTCCCATACTTATAAATATAATCAAAATGTTTGTTCATGATGATGGAACAATATGAATGACATGAATCTCATAACGATGAAATGGTTTATATATTGACCAAATGTTCTATGCACGTACTAAGAGTACGGGAACCTCATAATGACTACATGATATATGATGCATGAGTTAGACTATGCAGGGACCCCTGTGCTCCGATGTCATCCCACAACGATGACGACTCGGGCAAACCTTAGTCTCTTGACGAGACTAGAAATAATGGGTGGTAACTGAAGTCTAGTTACCATGTACGTACACAAGCCCTCAAAATGAAACTCGTTGGACCCGAAGGCTCCTGGACGGGCCCACTATAAGAGGTGCACTAGGTCTGACCTCTTATGTGGATATGCCATGATATGAATGATTCCTATATCATGCGTGATTTATGACTTCGAAGGCCTCATTTTGAAAACTAAGTCTTGGTTTCTAATCCATATACCAACATTTCAATTATTGATTTTTACCTTGAAAACACTTTGATTTCAGACCTGCTCAAAGTTCAGCAGTACCTGATAATCGATTTTCAAGTTGTGATAATCGATTATTAAGCTTTTGGGCCCCAAGTTCAGCAGCACTTGATAGTCAATTATCACTTGGTGATAATCGATTATCAAGGCTTCTGCTGCCAAACAAAATATACAGGGAGTCCAGATAGTCGATTATCAGAACCTGATAATCGATTATCATGGTACCCGGGTTCTTGTTTTAGTCCGTCTATTTACATTCAACCTCTTGAAAATTATAATGAATATTTGAAATTTACCAATACATCTATGTATTCTTTCCATCGGATTTCTAGGTGATTTCTTTTTAACAATTTTTCTACCACAATCTTATAACGAAGAACTACAATCATACAAATTCAACGTAGCTTATGTCAAGTAGTTGAGCATATTGAACAACAAATACACATATGTTTGTATATGCAAAACATATATATTTGGGCATAGATTACGTGTTCATGTAATCATCTAAATGTAGTCTGAGTGTTTCCCAACTTGTTCATTCACATGACAAATTTATACACATATATGTATCAAGTGATTTTATTACGATATCCAATGGTATTTCCTCAAGCCTAAACACATTCATCATAATCTACCCATTCTACTACTTTCATTTCAAAATACTTTATTGTTTATGTTTGAGTCAAACATCCATTTAGCCTTTGTGTAACTGCTCAATTTCATAACGTTTTCTAATCCTCGTTGTTCTCTTACGGAACTTTAATAGATCAAGAACACAATATGTCATAAATCTATATACAAATAGTCATATAACAACAAAGGTATTTGCATATAAATATATTAAAGAATCCTCCGTTATATCCAAGGCGTATATACCTCGAATACGACAAAACGTTTGAAGGAACCGAACGAATCAACAACGTCAACGAATGGTCATCAAACTATTGACCTTCCGACTTCCAAACGGTTTCTTTAGTTTCGATTTCTTCTCTCGAATATGTTACAGGGGCTGTGGTTAGTCGGCACGCACCTAACAAATAGAGGGTTGGATGAGACAGAACGAGAATGAAGACGGAAGTTGCAAACCTCACGTTTTCCGTCGCCACTGGACCAGTTTTGGTAGAATGGTCGTATCGCCGTCGTTACTCGTTCGATTGACGAACCATTTGTGGCTGTGGTTCACCGACTTGCAGGGATATAACTTTGGTCAAGAAATCGTGACCAAACAGTGAGTTTGTGTTGGTCAAAATACTGCCCAAAGTGGACTGACGGAATTTTGCTTCCAAAATCAGCACCTTCTTTTTCTTCTTCCTCTTCTTCTTCTTCTCGCCTTTCTCCTTCTTTCTCCTCGCCGTAGCTTCGTCGTCTTCTGGATGGTGTTTCCCAACATCCAAGGGAGAGGGAGAGATAGGAGTTGGAAGGTTGTGTGTGGAGGAGAAGTAAACAATGAGGAAGAATAGGGGAAGGGAAGTGCATATAATAAAAGAGAAGGAGAAGGAATTAAATGGGAAAAGAAGGAAGGGAGTGAACCGTGCACATGGGAATTAGGGAGGGGTGATGATTCTAAAGTCACCCCGTAATTAAAATTTGATCTGAACGGTACACGATTTTTTCCTCAAACTGCTCCGAATTGAAAACTGATTGCGTTTTTGGAAATAAACAGTCAAAACTAAATTTATGACATGTTCAAAATATTTTTCTCAACACTTTATTTTTCAAATTTCCGGGTCCATCTCAATAATTAACTAATGTATTTAATTAATTAATGTTGAGAGGCCTGTTATTTAAAACATCCTTCTATTATTAAAAATAGATTATCTTTTGAAACCAATTTAAAGAGATCAAAAATCTAATATCCCTTATTTAACATATTGAGTCTCAATAAATAATATTTATTTATTTAAAATATTGGCTAACTATTAGGCTGGTTTGTAAGGCATTACAGTACATAACGAAATACAGATCTGATGGTACCAAAGAGAGCCCGGTTGGTTAGGTATTGGTTTTACTAATACCTTCGCTCTAGTGGGAAAGTTAGCAACCGTTCATGTTTTATTGTCAGTTGTCGTTGTTATGGTTGGCAGGTTGACCAGTTAGATGTGAATAATATCTTTTTATATGGGGACATTCGGCCGGAGGTTTATATGAATGTTCCTCCCGATTATGAGCAGTTATTTCCCATGAAGGTTTGCCATTTATGCAAATCTCACTACGGGCTTCATCAGCCTCCTCGCAACTGATTTGATAAAGTCTCTATCACACTACAACATTATATAGATATGTATATGTTAGATGTACGACAAATATTGTGCAACGGAATGTATAATATACGAACACCGCAACTCCCAAGAAACATTAACAAATTATACTATAGATCTAGATTCAATGCACCTATTGTCCTATGCATCCAAATGAGTATTGTGTAATACGTAATGTGCATACACTTAGGGGGGCGTATTCAATCTGGATTTTGCAATATTTTTTTGATTTCAAAAGTCTCTAGGTATTCAATTCAGATTTTAAAAAAGTCAGTTAAAATCTTGATGTATTCAATTCAGATTTTAAAAATTTATTTAAGATCTGAATGTATTCGATTCAGATTTTAAAATATTTTTGTAAATTTAATGATATTAAAAAATTAATAGATTTTAAAAGATTTTTATAAAATATGGATTTTGATGAATTTTGGGGTTTTGGGTATAAATGTAGAGATTTTGTAGACTCCACGATGGACTCTTCCGATACACAAGGCGCAAGCCTCTCGTCTCCTTCATCTCTTCGATCTTTTTAATGGATCCCCATCCACTTTTGTCAGAGGAAACCTTCTTCAAGAGTTTGCAATTTTGCCAGGTGATCCTCTTCAATGGATCCCCACAATCGATTTTGTCAAAATAAATCTTCTTCAATGGATCCCCAATCTAATTTTGATCTTCTTCTATGGATCATCATCAACAACAACAATAAGAGGTTAGGGTTTCTTATGTTCTGAGCTCAGGCATCCTCCTTCAAGAGTTTGCGATTTTGCCCAGGGTATTTTCAATTTAATTTTACAAATGAAATACTATTTGAGTTAGGTCTACTAATAGAGTTATCTAATATTCCCATCGTTCTACAATCTTACCAACCATTACCGACTGGCTACAATAGAATTACCCAATATTCCAATTGTTCTTACCCAACCAGTACAAGAGGAAAAGTAGGACTCATAAGAGGGCTAGGAAGCAAGGGCATGGAGACATGAACTTTTTAAAAATATAAACAAATTTATTAAAATCTATCCAAATTCATATGGAATTTATTAAAATCTATCCAGATTCATATGATGTTTAAATAATCTATGAATCATACATAATCTATGGATTTCAAGAACTCTAAGAGAATTTTTTGAAATCTCAATTGAATACACTCTCTTAAATTTATGCTGAGTACACTATAAGTATGTTTAAAAAATACTTTGTGAATCTATGTTTTTTTTGTAATTTTATTTTTAAGACATCATTTTAGCCTACTAAGGATTATATGTGATATTAGTAATATAATAAAAAATATTTCCGAATAATAAAATAAGCGTTGTATAATTACTAAAGAGTGCTTCTATAGTGTATCTTGAGTTCATATTATTTTTGTGGACCACATAAACACTTTTTTATTTTTTAATTTAAAAAAATGTTCATTTTGTACTATGAAATTACTTATTTGAATCATTATATAGGAGTACTAAATTATAGGAAATGTGGGACAGGCGTTTAATCCCTCTGTCTTAACATATCTTACTGTATACAATGCTAGGATCCACTTTTGAATAGTGTTCCCGCCCAAATACAAGGCTACTGTGGACGGGTTTGGGCCTGATTTTGCTGGGTCGGTTTTGGGCCTGCTTTGTGGTTCGGGTTTAGGCCTGACATGGTGTTGGGCTCAATAAAATTACTTTATGTCTATTCAATTTTAGTGGTTCAATAAAGTTGAATTGGGAAAAGTGAAAATTGAGTGGCTCCATAAAGTAGATTTGGAAAGAGTAACTTTATGTCAAATCCATCCATTATAAAAAATTTTAATATCTAGCCATTTAATGAATGGTAGCAGAGATGTACTATATATACTCGAGCATAACAATGTGAACTTCATTTCTAAAAAAATAAACTTCTCAAATAGCCTATAAAAGCATCAAATGTCTCAAAATTCTTCGTTAAGCATGTAGTGTCCTCTTAATGGGTGGAACAATGAAAATTTTCAGTTCCTAACACAGGTCTCCTCTTAGATTGATTAATCTAAGATGGGTTCTTTGGACTGCAACTTCATTTCTGCAAAATTTCTTTTAATATCGTTCTATACACACACACACAGAACGATATTGCTAGGCCGGTGTTTCTCTCTATATATATATATAGAAAAATATTAAAATAAAGTAACCAAAGGAGAATAATTAAAGGAGTATATATATATATATATATATATATATATATATATATATATATAGACGTGATATATAGACTTGATTAAAGGAGCATATATATATCCAGTAAAGTAACCAAAGGTGAATAATTAAAAGAGTGTATGTGTGTGTGTGTATAGGAGAGGAATTGTTCAATGCTCCAAATAACACAATAAGAATGGAGAGAAATTGTTTGAACAACAAATTTCTTCCAAGAAATGGACAACGTATTTTTTTAAAACGGTTTTAAGATTAAGCAATATAAGAAACGAAATCGCCATGGCTGCAACAACGGGGGTTTCTTCCATTATGCCTCGCCAAGATACGTTCATTTTGTTTGATGCCTCAAATATTAAAAGCCTAAAAATCACAGAAGTTGTAGAAAATAGTTCCAAAAAAATAACAGAAGTTGTAGAAAATAGTTCCTAAAGAAATAGTTCCACAAACATCTATTCTTCTTGGATAAAAAATGATGAAATTTTTTTTTTATTCGAGAACCAAAAGGAGATTTAAAAATTGAATTATATAATTGATATATATAGATCTAATAAATACATATCTAAAGATCTAAAGAATATATAGATCTCGTAATGTAAATCGGAGGATATATTTATTCGATGAACAAAAAACAATAAATCACACGAAACAAACCTGGATTTGTTTAAGTGAAAATAAGATTAAATCAAAATTGTGCCCAAATCGTGCAAAAATTCGATGTTGAACAAACCAAAGTTGGAAATGATATGCATCGCCAAAAACAATAGGTTGGTGGGAGATATGTTAGAGATAGATCCGAAAATGGTAGGAGAGTGGCGACACGGAGATAAGACAGAGATGAACAGAGATGAGAGGTAGAAAGATGGTGGGAGAGAGCGGCGGAAGAGAGTTAAGGACGGAAGAATGGAGTAGTAGGGTTAGAAATAAGGCATATATATCAAAATGCTATTGGGCCAAGGAAATAATTGGGCCGGAAGAAACATGGGCTACTAAATATTTTATATATTATATACTCTTTCCGTCCACAAATAAACTTTCCGTTGTGCGTTATAATGTTTGACTGAAGTTATTTTCAAATAATTTTATATGAAAATTGGTGTAAAATTTAAAAAATAAAAAATTACATATTAAAAGACTATATCAAAAGATTTACAAAAGTAACAAACCTAGAGGTGACATAACTATATTATTTTATCAAATGAGTGACGAAAATAGGGTAATAAAGTGAATAAAGTTTGACTTTATGAATAGTAAAAGGGAAATTTATTTGTGGACGGAGGGAGTATTAATTTTAATTATTATAAAAAAATAATTGTGCATTAATTAGATAAACAAATATTTTTGTTTAAAAAAAGATAAACAAATATTTTGACAGATTTGATAAATTATGAGAAAGAAAGAATTCATAAAAGATAAAGAAAGAAAGATCCATAGAAATGAAGTTCGAAACAAGAATCTTACATCCATAAACGAAGATCCATTGAACGGCGGCATAGAGACGGATAGGGAGGGAGTGAGATAGGCGACGGCGTAAAGGGAGCGACCGAGAGAGAGAGATTCGGGTAGAAAATATATTTAGGTTTTATTAGTGGGCTGGGTTGAAGGGTTGTAGTGAGTTGGGTTTATAAAATTGGACTGGTGAATTAGTTAAAATTTTTTTTGGAAGGGGCTTAAATGGGTTTGAGTATATTCAATTCTGACCCAATTTAGCTCGGGTTTGGACTTAATTTTGATGGGTCAATTTCACATATTTATTTTTTCAATTCAGATTCAATTAAAGATTTAATCGGGTTGGTTGTAGTCAAATAGGGCCATTTTTTTGTTTTTTTATTTAACATGTTTAAAAATTTATTTTAATAAAATTCTATTAAAAATAATATATTATTTTTAATATATTTTTATACATGTTGTTTTGATGAATTTTTGTAATGTTAATTATTTATATGTCTATTTTGATTATGACAAATGTTAGTTTTTTGTTATGAAATTCCAAATTTAAAGCGATAAATATTAGCAATGTATCATTCACTACGCTTACAAAAAATGGACAACGTATTTCTTTTTATTGTTAATTTTTTAAGTAAAACATCATATTTGTATGCATATAATGATTATAACGAATGTTAGATTTTTGTTATTAAATTCTAAATTTAGAAGGATAAATATTAGCAATGTATCTTTCTCTACGATTGTAGTTTATAAAGAAGTGTTCCAAAATTTTTAACACTTCATATCGACTTTGCTCATTACTGTATAGAATTCTCTTTTGGGGAATAATATTAAATTATGTAATCTTTCCGGTTTTGTAACATTTTCCATTATTCCAAACATTGACTAAATATATGTAAATTAATAGCCCGTGCATCGCACGGGTACGAGTCTAGTTAAATACTCCCTCCGTCCCCCTGTATTTGTCCACATTTGACTTTTGGAACTGTTCATCTAAGCATTTTGACTCATCAAATTCTCTCAATGTGTAAGCCTAAATATAGTCATGTGTGATCTTGTTTGATTTGTCTTAACATATAGATTATTAATATATAATTTTTTAATATACAAATTATAAGATAAAATGAATTAAAGAAGTGCATTGAATGATGTGTAAAAAGGAGTACAATGTAATAAAAATTAAATCTAATGAATTTATCTTTGAAGTTTAAAGCCTCATTTTTACAGCTGCTGTTAAGTTTCGACCACCACTGGGCATGGCGTCATGTCACCCAAGTGAATTGGTTTCCGAGTAGCTTACTCCTTACTAGCTTCTTCACTCATCATCACCATCAGTGCATGAAGAAGAGATATGGATTGCCATTGGGGCGTAAACAGGACACCGTCTTCTTGCTCAGCCGTCCTCAACTTTCGGGTATGTTCCTGTATTTGGGGTTTTCTCCCAATATGGACGTATAATGGTCGCCATCCTCTGATGAACAGCTCGTTAAGATATGCGGATTACTCCGTAAAAAAATTTGCTTCTTTTGATATAGATAATTCATAGCAGACAAGGATTTATGGGGAATCGACTAATAATTATACTCCCAAATTATTAGGGTTGAAGTTAATTGTTTGGCTGAAACTTAGTTCTATATTTCATCTCAATAAGCACATTGAAGCATTCTAGCTATAATATGAGTTCTTTAAATTGTTTTCGAAATCAGCTCAATCAATCTGATACGAATCTTGATACGAATCGTATTGGGATAGGGAAGAACTTCGAGTGTCTTCAAACTCCAAGAAAGGGGAGGCAAAGAGAGAATGAATGTTTCAAGCGTTTCCGGGCTCCGAAGAAGATAGAGATTTAGGGTTTTGATATTTCTGATTGATTCAATAATGATGAGGAAGGATTACAATCTATAGAGAGTAAAAGTAATGCTATTTGACCTAATGGGCTTGGGCCCATACTAAAACTCTAAACCCTATTAACTATAGAATATTAAATAATAAATACTAATTAACTAATACTCCCTCCGTCCCACTGTCTTTGTCCACTTACCTTTTGGCACACCATCTAATGCACTTCTTTAATCCATTTTATCTTGTAATTTGTATATTAAAAAATTATAGAAATTATATATTAATAATCTATATGTTAAGACAAATCAAACAAGATCACACATGACTATATTTAGGCTTACACATTGAGAGAATTTGATGAGTCAAAGTGCTTAGATGAACAGTTCCAAAAGTTAAAAGTGGATAAAGACAGTGGGACGGGGTAGTAATTAATTAAATATGCTAATTGCCATACATATCACAACCTCCACCAAAGTGGCTGCTATTTTGTAATTGTGTACTCCCTCAGTCCCGAAATAATGTTTACACTTCCCTTTTTGGATATCCCGAAATAAGGTTTACACTTCCTCACTTTCTTATCAAGAATATGAAGAAAACTAATATGTTTCTCATAGTATTTCTCTCATCTAAACCAATGCCAACCATACATTTCTATTGAAATCCTTGAAATCAAACCGCAAACTTCATTTTCGGATGGAGAGAGTATAGTTTAGTTTTTCTTGTGTTTGAGCATTACGAGGTTATCTGTCTTCTACGTTATTGTTATATAATGGTAAAAATCTTTTCTAGAGATTTTAGGTGAAAGTTTTGCTTATTAAGCTAGCTCACTTCCACGTAACTCGCGTATCATTTGTAACATATTTGTAGTAACTTAGCTATAAGTGATGCAGGGTGGCCCATCACTTGGCGTAGGACTCTCTAAAAGATCATTGTATCCATTATCATCACTCTCCAAACCTTGCCAGCAGCGTAAGATCAAAACTCGACATTTTACAAGTAAACAAAGCTCTCAACATCTTACTTTTGCAACGTATAAGGGCCCTTCAGCCCGAACCGGACCACAACCTTGGGATCTTGGAAGATTTCTTAGCACATTGTATTATTTTAATGGACCTCCCTCCCCTTCCAAGGTTTGCGTTGCTTTCTCTTAGAATTTATTAATTAATTAGTCATTGTTTGGCAATCTTAAACACATCTAACAAGGCTGGTCTATTTTTGAAGTTCTTTGAGTTCTTGATTGGGAAGGTATCCGGCACTTCGCCTAGTAAACCCGTAAAACTGATGGATGCTTCAGGAATCATCCTGGTTGCTGGGGCCACAGGTGGTGTTGGAAGAAGAGTGGTAGATATCTTGCGCAGCAAAGGGTTGCCTGTCCGAGCACTGGTACTTAACAGAAACACACTGCTCCTTTCAATGGAAAATAAGAATTTTGAGATATAAAGATGAGGTAAATGAGATACTATTGATAACTGTGAACCAATATTATTTCAGGTCAGAGATGAAGAGAAGGCAAGAAGAATGCTTGGTGAAGATGTTGATTTGGTGGGTTATATTACTTATATACTATATTCAAGTTTACCATGATAAATTGGATACTATCTCTGTTCCAAAAAAAGAGTCTTGCTTGACCAAGGCATAATTTTTGAAATTTTGGTTACTGACCAGTGACCACTCTTCTGGGTATAAATAATTAATCTTACTGTTTTCACACTAATTTGGCTCTTTTTTTGGTGAATTACATGAAAGTTAGCTCCATTTGTTCAAATGAAACTCCATTTTGGGACAAGAATATGTTTGAGTAGTTGAGAAAGAATTTTATTTTAGGAAGAGGTGTAAAACATAATTGTGGTCATTGTTGCTTCAGCACCAATTGGAAGCAACACGGCTGACCTGATTGTAAATTTATACTCATTGAACTTAAGTGTAATGGATTATACAAAGGTAGACACTATATACTTAAAGACGTACTTTTAAGTTGGGGATGTGTACATTTGATGACTTCTGTTTTTTGATAGATACTCCTAATTTACAGAACTTTGCTGCCATACAATCATGTGTAATTGCAGACGCATGAGTGTGCTAAATATTCAGATTGTAGGTGATATTACTAAGGCTAGCAGTCTGCTCCCGAGCCAATTTAATGGAGTGAGAAAGGTTATTAATGCTGTTTCAGTTATTGTTGGCCCCAAGGAAGGGGATACCCCTGACAGAGCCAAATATAATCAGGTAAACTCAATTCTCCAAGAATTAAGAGGAACACTGTCTAATAGTAATTTAATGAGTAAAATTCTATAATTGATCCTTTATAATAGGGGTTTTTTCATATTAAGTCCCCTCTATTATCAAATATCACGCGCGTGGTCCTTCTAAGGGTACCTTTTCACAAATAGTTCTTTTTTGATCTTATGTCATGTTAATGTTAATTTAAGGGTTAAAAGTGTAATTTCACAATGATTTTATATATATATATATATATATATATATATATATATATATATATATATTTCTTGTCATATCTAATGCCAGAGGTCACTCCTAATGCATCGCGCAGTCCCTGTCTACTACAATCATAGTTTACAGATGTCGTGTTAGTCATTATGGTTGTATTGTCCATGTAGTCAGTAGACATAAGGTTGATGTCAAATTACACTTTTAGCTTTAAATTAACACCAATATGACAAGAAGTCAAAAAAAGACTATTCGTGGAAAGATACCCATAAAAGAAGGACCCTGAGCAAAATATTTGATAATAGAGAACTAAATATGGAAAAGTTTTTGTTATAAAGGACCAAATATAGAATTTTCTCTAATTTAATTGTGTACTGAAGTTGAATTAATTCTTTCTTTACCATCTTTGTAATCACTAAAATCCTAAATTAATATTCCCTTTGTCCCATATTAATCTTCATGTTTTCCTTTTTGGGACGTCCCACAAAAAAGCTTCATGTTTCCTTTTCCGGAAAGCTTATTGTGGCTTTACAATCTTTCTCCCTCCTCTGCATCGCTTTCAACCACCCAATTTCACTTTTCTTAAAATTTGTGCCAAACCCAACCCAAAACACCATTTTGGGAAGGAGAGAGTACTTTGTTGGGATTGAGGGCATGAAGGTGTCATTAAATTATTCAAAATTAGTTAGTGCTATAAATTCATGCAAAAAGCAGTGAATAGTTTACAATAGAATACAACACTGACCAACTTACAAACCCCGTTAGGTTTCTAAGCAACCTTAGAGAGATGTTGTTTCTGTTAGAGCCTTGATGCGTTGCTGCATTTATTGCCCAAAACTTCATACTCGTAGAAAGTAAGAAGCATGGGAAGTTTAATGTGCCATTTTGATTCAGTCCATTATTTACCCAAAGCTAAAACATTATTTGTGAAAATGACAATTTTAGACACTATTTTAAACTGTCACCATCACTTGTTTTCATTCACTTGCAAGGGTAATATGATGAGCCAGAAATGCATTGAAACAACTGCTCTAGTCATGTCCTACTACTAGGCTGATATTGTAAAATCAAAATCTAAACCATGGAACATGACCAATATTAAATATTTCTGGTTTTATTAATATCCTACTTTAAAATCTATTCGTTTTTGCTTGTCAATTGTGATTAGTGGTGGTTGAGACTTACTGCAGCATGTACCTAATGTTTTTAACAGGGGATCAAATTCTTTGAGCCAGAGGTGATCAAATTATTGCATATGGCTTCTGGTGTTGAATCTTTTTACTTCTTTTTCATATATATCAACTTTCTGACTTGTGCCTTATCGCACGCACGTGCACACACACACCACATGACATCATCATCTGCATGAGAGAACAGATAAAAGGTGCTTCACCTGAAATGGTCGAGTACATTGGCATGAAAAATTTAATGAATGCAGTAAAGGAAAGTGTCGGGCTCCGTATGGGAAAACTTGTATTTGGATTTGAAGGTATGATCTTGTGATTATAAATGTTAAGTTTAACATTACCTTCCACCAAATGCAAGGACTGTATCAAGTACAATGTGGAATCCACAAAAGAAAGTACTCCCTAAATATTCTTCTATTTTCCTTTTTAGGATGTCCTAAAATTTTGTTACTGCTCCCGTTTAAGAAAATATTTGTGTGGGGGTGGGGGTAGGGGGAGGGGAGTAATTGATAAATATTCAGCAAGCTTATTTACCACTCACCTTTTAGTTCCACTTAAGCAAAATTAATCTACACTTTAAATTGTTTAGTACATTTTTCTTTTATTTTACGATCACACATTACGATAAAGATCCTCTTATATCACTTCATTTTGAATTATTACAGACAATTCATCTCGACCACTTTCATGGGGTGCCTTGGATGATGTTGTGATGGGAGGAGTGAGTGAAAGCACATTCGTGATAGATCCAAGTGGCGGAGAAGATGCTAAACCAACGGGCATTTTCAAAGGTTTGCTTAAAGCGTAGACCATAATTTTTAGATAAAAATCCCGAGGCACTTCATGATCAAATATCATTACCTATGCTCTACAGTTCAATTTCTTTTATTTATTTTTTGTGTAGGAAATGTTACCACAGCAAATAATGGGGGTTTTGTCAGTGCAAGGACAAAGGTGAAGATTTATTTACATTATTGAGTTCTTTGCACATTTCATTTTTTTAGACAAATGAGAATTTTAGTTCTTAGACTTTTGAGAATTTTAGCTTTTAGACTTGTGAGAATTTTAGAGAATGGTAAGTGTCTTTGGGAGAAACGCTGTGTAGTATATATGTAGAATCTTTGGGCCGACCCACCCCCTACCCTACCCTACCCCCTCCCTCAGCCCCGTGCTGATGCCGATTCGGCGATTCCCCATCCTGTAGCATTTTGGTGTCTGCAGCTTCCATCTCCCTTCTCCTGGCCGATCAGCGACCCCCCCAACCTGCACCCCTGAATCCACCCTTGGTCTCAGGGCCCCCAAATGGCACGGTGTCTTATTATTATGACACCGACGACCAGTGTTTAAAGAACTGTGCCAATTATTGAAAACCAATACGGGAGTATTAGATCATTTAGCTTGCATTTGTTATATGCTAGGCTCAAAATGTCTGCACATAATATCTCTATTTGTTAGTTTTAGACTGTAAAAAACTTTCTTTAGCTAAATAATGTATTTCTGTATAATTTATCGTGTGCACTTCATTTCCAACCATCTAGATGCAAGAATAAATTAATGAAATAAATATCCCCCCCTTCCTAAATCCCCGAACCAAACAAAGACCAGGTGTTGTGTATACAGATTGTAAAACATTAATTAATTGCAGCTCTCGAATCTTTATTTTGTTGCTATTGCATTTTGTGTTGGATTTGAAGATTTATTGGGAGTAAGTTTCATCTCATGATAAAAAAAGTATTTGAACTGAAGACATGTCTTCTTTCTTCTTCTTTTTCATTTTCATGTTAATTGTTTTGTGACATCTTTTTGCGTTGATATTCAGAACTTTCCCATACCCAAAGATCTTTCTGCTTATGATGGTTTGGAGCTGCGGCTTAGGGGTGATGGGCGCCGTTATAAGCTTATCATTCGCACTAGCCGTGATTGGGATACAGTGGGCTATACAGTAAGCTTTGACACGGTGGAGGGTCAATGGCAATCGGTTAGTGGCATCAATGGTTAAGGAACTTATTTATTAATTTGTTTTAAAAAAAACTATAGTGAGAACTTTACCACAAACAAAAATTTATGATGCTCATACAACAAAGTGACATTTATTACTCCCTTCGTCTTGTAAAAAGAGTTCTGTTTCAAAAGGTATTTTTTCCCCATAAAGTATCTTGCTTGATCAAATTCAAGTTTAGAGAACTTTTGTAGTAGCAAACATGTCTGATATGATCAATTTATTTAAAATATCAGAAAGTTTGTGTAATGAAAATACTCTGTATTATATATGACTTTTATAGTTGTACCTTGTCAGAAAGAAGGTTTACGTTGGTCCAACAAGACTCTTATTTTGGTCAGGAGTATCATTATGGTATCACATTGTTAATGACCTTCTATCCAGATTCGTTTGCCTTTTTCTTCTCTGAGACCTATTTTTCGAGCTCGGACTGTATTGGATGCACCACCTTTTGATCCAAGCCAGATCATATCATTGCAGGTATTTTTGTTGCATCTTTCGTTGGGTGTGTTAACCAAATTGTCTTTTTTTTTTAAAATTTTGATTAAGTATTGTCATAAGCAGTTGATGTTCAGTAAGTTCGAGTATGATGGTAAACTAAACCGAACTTTCAAGGAAGGTCCTTTTCAACTTCCTTTATCACACATTCGTGCATACATGAAGGATCCTATCACTCCCAGGTAATTAATTTCAAAGTGGCTAACCGTTACTTGAATTTGATCGGCAGTGCATGGTAATAAACCTCGTTGTTATTTATTTATTACTACTGTGGTGTTATGATTTACAGGTTCGTACATGTGGGGTCTGCTGGTGTTACTCGACCTGAGAGAACAGGACTAGATATGAGCAAACAGCCTCCTGCTGTTCGCATGAACAAGGAGCTGGGCTACATTTTGACATTTAAGCTAAAGGTTAATTGCCGTCTCAGTTAATGTGCTAGCTCACAGCTTACAAGTCCGGTAAGATCTTTCTTGGAAGGTGAACAAGAACATTGGCCCATTGAATGTACTGTTTTATTGTGTCAGGGAGAGGATGTGATAAGGGAAAGTGGAGTACCATATACAATAGTGAGGCCTTGTGCTTTGACTGAAGAACCTGCTGGTGCCGAGCTCATTTTCGAACAAGGAGACAATATAACTGTAGGAATGAGCTCTCCAGTTCTTCAGTAGGCTGTTATGTTTTGTTTAGATCTACATATTCATCACATCGATATTTGATGTATATGATGTCGTGCAGGGAAAGATATCCCGGGAAGAAGTTGCACGGATATGTGTGGCTGCTCTTGAGAGCCCCTATGCATGTGACAAAACATTCGAGGTTATGATTTCTCATGTTTAATTGCTAATTGAATTTATGTCCCTAAATTTGGTCAAATTACAAAGCGGTCTGTGAAGTGTGTATAGAATTTAAATAGACCCTTAACTAGTCAAAGTTACCTTGACACACTTAACACTGAAACTGAAAGCAACCCACTCATCACTTATTTGGAGAAGGAAAAAACATGGAATGATGGAATATTCTGAGGAACATGCTGCTCTTGTATGCAGAGCCCTGTCCTCCCCAAAGGAACTATTATCCTTCCAGTAAAATAAATCAGTGTTCTTACTATATTCTATATTCTGCTCTGTATTTCATAAACCACTACACTCTCTCCTTCCAATATTTAAGTTCCGACTTTCCTTTTCTAGACATCTGACAATAAAGGTCTCATTCCTTCTAAGGAATGGATTATGAGGTTGATATTATTTCTCCCTCTGCAAAACTTTTAACCATAAAATTTCACATTTTCTCGAACTCTATGAATGTCAAACCAGGATCATAAATACGGGATGAGTGGAGTATGATGGAACATAATGGCATATTGGCATTAGCGCGGATTAAGTGTTTTGGAGAATGCGTCCAAAAATTATATGGAGTAAAATGTAATGGAATTAGCAGGAATGAAGTGTTTTGGACTGGATTTTGTGTCTTTATTGTATCATAAAGTTTTTGCTTTCTTTTAAAAGAAATGTTTGGAACAAGTGTTAAGAGTAATATAGTCTGAAAACTCGATCCCTATTGATTTCAGAACACTCTATTTCACATAACGCTGTCATTTATGGAATACTTGACTTTGAGCGGTGCATTTGTTTTTTTTCCTCCAAAAATTTCATGCATTGATAGGTAATCTGACCAAATCTCAACAGAGATAGATGAAATTAACCTCAAGTAAGATTGGTTAATCATGACATCCTTCTTCGATAACTGGGGCTAGCACCTAGTTAAGGATTGATCTTGTTTGGGCAATGACTAATTGAGGCATGCGGTTTGGATATTTGTAAGAATATGTTTTTTGTAAAACTTTATGTGATGTTTATGAAGATAAGAAATTGCTATGTGACAGGTCAAGAGTGTGATTCCATTCAGTGAGCCATACACAGTGGATCCTGAAAATCCTCCACCAGAGAAAGATTATGATGCTTACTTCAAGACATTGAAAGAAGGTGTCACTGGGAAAGAAAACATAGAGATGCATAAGGAGAGAGCTAACTTATAAGGTACGTTACTATTGATTTCTATGTTACTATTGTTTATATTTCATTTGAACATAAAATCTTATTGGGAAGAAATTGCTATTAGCATATAAATCAAAAGAATAACTAAGCGGGCAGCAATATCGAAAAGAATAAGACTATTCTTTTGAGCAAAAGGAATACGTGCAATTTTAATGTCACAATTGTTTGTATTATTTTCAACAGGATTGTATATTTTCTTTGAGCATAAAAAAGCTTCTTACAAAAGTTACATTTAAGAGAAATAAGATGAAGAATTGATTGATACAAACATAGAAATCAAAAGAATAACTACCAAGGGGCATTTCTATACACCACTATAATATAAAAAAGAAAGACTTTATTCTTTCCTCCAATGCTTTGATTCTGCTTCCTTAGAATTTCCTTGTAGGACACAGCCACGCCTGCAAGATCCTCACTCCCAATAAATAAATAAATAATTAAGGGTCCGTTTGGTGCACGGAATTGACGAAAAAATTGAACTGGGATTTGAAATTCTATGGAATTGATTTGGATGGAATTGAATTCTCCAATTCCAATTCATTTTTGGTACTACCAATTCCAAATCCACATATTTTTGTGCTACCAAACCGCAGAATTGGAACTCTTGTCCCCAATTCCAATGTTTGAATTCCGTGTACCAAACGGAGCCTTACTACCTTTTTTTTTAAAGTCTCAAGACAAAAAAAAAGATTTGCATATCACTAATAGCATTATCTTACATGGAAGGAATGCCTTCTTATTCTTCGTCTTCTCCTCTGATGTGCATTCAAGGCTTGAGTTATCTTGGCAGCCATTTCTGTGTAAGAGAGAATCTTCCCAGGTGAGCTCAAGAACACACTCCTTTGAATGGGAGGAGACCACAGACCACTCTGTGAATAATCAAACCCAAATTCCGACACATCTGAGTATTTTGAGAGAAGCTTTTCTGAGACTAAGTTTGAAACCAGCTGAGCTCTCAATGTTGAGGATGATTCTTCTGAGGTACACATTTTATCAAAACAATGTTTAATTGTTTGGCATTCTACTCTACATCTTTCCATTATATAAGTCTCAAGAAAGATGGTTTTTCATGTTTGGCCAATTCAAATGTGATACGTGACCCTCAAATAATAATAATAATAATAATAATAATAATAATAATAATAATAATAATAATTATAAAGTTTGTTTGTGGGGACATATATGGGAGGAAAGATAGAGAAGTGGAAGGTGGGCACCATGATGGCTATGAGATTGGGAGTTCATAATCGTGGTATGAAGCCAAAGGAAGATGCAGTGTCATGTGCTATACTTAGCTGATTTGGGCAACTTTCATAGCAATAATTCATGATCTCTTCCTTTAATACTCCCGTCGCATCAAAAAGCATTATTTACAATGCTGGCCTAAAGTCTATTATCATTTAATTTATTTTATCATTAGGAAATCCCCAAAAACATACTCCAATAAGGCAATAATATTGACTAGTAAAATCCCGCAAAAAGTATGGTATGAGTTTGGTGTGCGTACATAGACCGTACTTACACTCAAAGCTAGATAGGTTTTCAAGAGACTCGCAACTCAAGCACACTCGAAATGAACGAACAAAGAAGATACGAGAGCACAACCAAGGCGAGAATAGAGTAGAAGCAAACAGAAAGACGTTCCTTCAAAAAGATCTTGGGGCTTTAAGTCGTGTCTACCCACTCCATTCTAATGCTTTCTAGGTCTACCCTAACCCTACCCTCGCCTCACTACGTAAGCTTCTTGCATATCTGCATTGGGGCCTTTGCACTCGATCAATCAAGAATGTCATAAACCTTGATCTTCTTCATCTTTTCTTCAGAATCTAGAAATGCTTGAAGCTTTCTAACTTTTTCTCGACCTCTTTTTTTTGAAATCTGAAGACGTTCGAAGTCTTTTCTTATCCTGATACGATTCGTATTAGTATGTTATAAGTCTATGTGTGCCAAAGAGTGCACACTTCATTGAACCAGAGGGACAAAAATTCAAATTTATATCTTCTATGATTTTTGAGGTGAATTTTTACGTTATGTTTGGCTTGAGGAATTAGGAATTAAAGGAAAAGAAAAATGGTTTAATTTCCCTCATTCTTTTTCAGGAAAATAGAATGAAATTTGTTTGCCTTTGTCATAATTTATTTTTTTTCTCATTTTCTTTTCCTTATATTTTTGGCAAATTCTTCTATGGTCTTAAGGTCCATACTCATTTTATTGACTTTAGTATATAAATATGATGAATAAATTAACTCATTAAAAAAATAAAAAATCTACATGTCAGCCTATGAGAAATGTGAGTGTTCACATTTCACACATGGATCTTAGAATCATGGAAGTACAATTCTAAACTTTTTTCCTTTTTCTCTTTAATCAAATAAATAAAATTCTTTTTTTGATCGTTCTTTTATTTCTTGAATCAAATCCAGTATTAAAGATTTAAAACTAGTTTGAGGGAGCGAGAAAAACGTAAGCCGGCCCTAACCTTTTCACGTGAATCAGTGAATATCAAATCTTTTTTCTTTTTCTTTTTCCCTAATTCATAATCCATTGGATTAAGGCAAATTTTCAACTTTTAAAATTTCTCATCACACGTGATTGTCTATTTTTCTTTTATACAACCCTTACTCCCCTTAGATAACTGTTGTGCTCCGCCATCATTCACTCCAAGTTAGTAGTCACTCAGTGCCATAGCACCGTTGACTGCACTCATGATCATACTCATTTTACACCCGTAGTATCTCACTTTCACTATAATGATTACACTCTTATTTTTATAAAATATTTATTTATTTCTATATAAATTAAATGCTGTCTTTAAAAAAAGAATAAAAATGTATTCATTTTTCCATTTTTCTATTTCGGAATTTATTTTAAGTTTTTTTAATATTTCAGTTTTTTATTTATAAAGAATTTGTTTGATTTATTGCCTTATTTTATTTATTTACATTTTTATACTATATTTTGAACCACACTCAAGGAAAAACTAAAAAAACAAAAGGGAGAAGTACCGCCGTAGCACTAATATATGCTTAAAATACCTAATATAGCACTACTATGAGATATTGGAACTCGTATGGATAAATAAGAATATCGCGTATAAAATACTCTATCGTACCACTAAAAATAGGATTATCACTCTAAACTTTTTTTTAATATAAATATCATATGAATACATTATAAGTATCAACAAACACTTCACAAAAAATGAAAAAAAAGTTAGTTTAATTTAAAATGGGAAAACATACGATGGCATAATTTAATTTTAAAATGTGTTTTGTTTCAAAAACCTAATAATAAAACACGTCTCGTTCAATTTAGAAGTCTTTGGACGAAAATATAAGTGTGACATAACTTCAAAATTATACAATTTCAGTATATGAAATTGTGATTGGCCATGATATCTTCAATTTAGAAGTGTTTTTATACAATTAACTAAGCCCATACTTTTTTTACACATCAAAAATTAAATAAATGTGAATAAAAATATCAATTTAAAAATATCAAGCAATTAAAATAATAAATATCTAACATCATCAAGAGTTTCTTTTATTATTTGTTATTGGTATGATTTGGCTATATTAAAAAAAAGAAATGTTTGAGTAGTAGGAAGCCAACTCCCCCGAATTTATGGAGAAGTTCACCCCGGTTCGAGTTCTAGCGAATGTAAAAGTATTTGCTCTTTGAGTACTATTAGATTGAGAAATGAATGAACAGATAAGGAAAGTAACATTAAAAAAAGAGGCATTCTGATGGTTTGAGTGATCGTATTCGAAGATTCCGAAGAAAGTGATTGGGCTTGGTTTGGGTCGCAATGATGTCAACAAGTGGGGATCAATATTTTAAGGCTAGACGGTGCACATTATCAAGATGGGGCCCGGCCCATTCTCAGTATATTAGCGTCGCATCAACATTACCTATATATATTTTTTATTTTAATGCTATCGACTTGATTATATACTTTCTCCGTCTCGGAGTATTTTGTCTAGTTTTGATTTTTTTTGATCAATTATTTTTTATTTTTGATCTATAGTTAAATAAAATATATTTTGAAAATATATGATATAATAGATCTAATAAAACTGTTTTGTATCAATATCTAATATCATTTTTATTTAATTTCAAATCAAAGTTTACCTATTTTGATCAAAAAAAGTCAAGAGAGGAAAATACTCAGAGACAAAAGGAGTATGAATAGACTGTTATAAATTTCTGGCAAACTTCACACGGATACTTCCAGAAATCTACCATTTCATAAGAATACTCTCAAGTACATTAATTGACATAATCATTCTTAGAATTATATCATATTTATATTAGATTAATCTCTTGAAATTACACTCAATAAGCATATTTTGTATTTTCTAGATTAGTTCCTAAGACGAACAAATTATCGAGATGATACTTGTTAATTGAAAAATAATGTCCAGTCTAGTTCCCCGACTAACTGCCATCAAAATGTAGTTAAAACGACATTAACATTTATACTTATTTTTCAAAATGATCATTTCCAATCGATTTTTTTCAAACTAGTCAACTTTCGAAATAAAATTTGATACAAATGGTCTTCAGACTTCGCTCAAACACTGTGAATAAATTAAAAGGGAAAAAATTCTGCTTCGTTTTTTCATATTAAATGAGTTTTTACATTGAAAATAAAATAATTTGAAAAAATATCCAATTATATATGATCAATTTGGAAGATTAGTATAAGTTTTAAGAATAAATTCTTTAAATGGCCTTTTATAGACAGTCCTTATTTATTAGGTATCATTCCACGTTTAATCCTCCGTCAATTTTTCTATCACCATGCCGTTAGACAATGACCAAACATGGAATGATACCCAATCAATACGGACCACGAAAATAATATAGACTAAATATGGGAATTCACCCGTTGTAAAGGAATGTTTGGAAGACTTACTTTTTTAAAACCATTTTTAATATTGAAAGTACTACCTCCGTCGTTGAGTATTTTGTCCAATTTTGACTTTTGCAGCAAACCATTTTTAACATTCGACTCATACTAAATCAAATATATATGGTATTTTTATTAAATAAAATAATATTTTATGAAATAAATCCAATAAAACTATTTTTGTATCAAAAACTAATATTAATTTTATTTAATTCGTGGTCAAAGATATCAAATTTTCACAAAAAACTCAAAAGCAAACCAATACTCAAGGACGAATGTATTAATAAAAATGAAAAGTATATGATTGTAGTTTGTATATAAAAAGTCAAAATTACCATTAAATAGAATTTACCAATAAATTCATTTTTTAATATGAGAATTATCTTGGAAGAGATAGAAATTAATAAGTAATTTGAAATTACCCAAAATTGGTGTAAATATAACATCTATCCTCAAAATAAGAATTTCGTGATATTATCTCAAAATACGAATTTGAATTGTGACATAATGACATTGTATAGTGGTATTATATATTGACATTATTAGCATTATACTCTTATTTTGGAGATAAAAATTTGAAGCTCTTAAGTTATTATAAATGGATAATAACTTCAAATTTCTTTTTAATCCTATCAATTTCAAACAGATTCTCGAATTAAAAAATTATTTTTTTGATAAACCATTGTGTATGGTGTACAAATTTTAATTTTTTATAAATAAACAAGAGTTATATATTTTCTATCTATTAATTTTTATACTAAAAATTGTTTAAAAAGAACAAATTCTCCAAATAGTCCTTTATGATGAGAGAATTTCCATATTTAGTTCATATCATCAAATATTATTTCTGTGGTCATTATTGATTGAATATCATTCCACATTTTGTTTTTGTTTAACGGCACAGAGACGGACTAGTACATGGAGGACGAAATGTGGAATGATACCGCATTAATAAGTACTCTCTACTTGATTTCAAACAGATTCTCGTAATAAAATATGAATAATTTTTTGATAAACTATTGTTTACGGTGTATAAATTATGATTTTTTTATAAATAAACTACACTCACAATGTAACACCCTAAACCGTCCAAGTCTGCAGCCCCTTTCGGACTAAGGTATAAACTTGGTATTCGTAAAACATTCAAAATATTTCAAACATTTAAAACTTTATTTCATAATAATTTATTTCGAATAACAACGAAGTATTTAAA